ACTGAAGGATGTTCAACAACTTCAAACAATGACCAAATTTCACTCCTGAAACAACTTTGGTCAACATATCTGCAGGGTTGTCATTTGTGTGGACCTTCTCTAATATGACATCTCCATCATCCAAGACGTCCCGTACAAAGTGGAATCTGACATCGATGTGCTTTGTGCGCGCATGATAAACCTGGTTCTTTGCCAAATAGATAGCCGACATACTATCACAATATATCCGAATAGTCTCCTGTGCAATCCCCAAGTCCTCCAATAATCCACGCAACCATAAAGCCTCCTTAATAGCTTCAGTAACTGCCATATACTCTGCCTCTGTAGTAGAGAGAGCCACTGTGGACTGAAGCGTGCAACGCCAACATACAGGTGCACCTGCCAATGTAAAAGCATAACCTGACGTAGACCGGCGTTTGTCAAGATCTCCAGCATTCCCCGTAGCCAACACAATCCTGCCCTGTCTCATCATTCTTCGCAAATATCAACCCAACATCCACGGTACCCTTAATATACCGTAGAATCCACTTCACAGCCTCCCAATGCCCCTTCCCGGGGTTGTGCATGTACCTAGATACCATGCTCACAGCCTGTGACAAATCTGGCCTCGTACACACAATCGCATACATCAAGCTACCTACTGCACTAGCATATGGGACCTTCGACATATAATCTCTGTCCTCAACTGAAACAGGTGACATCAACGCTGAAAGCTTGAAGTGGGGAGCCAATGGTGTGCTAACTGCTTTTGCATTGCCATCAAAGCTGAATTTCTTCAACATCTTCTGCAAGTAGCTCTTCTGTGTAAGCTTCAATTTCCCCTTCACCCTGTCTCGCTCGATCTCCATACCCAATATCTTCTTTGCCTCTCCAAGATCCTTCATCTCAAACTCGGATGATAACTCCTCTTTCAGCTTTCGAATAGCTGAAGAATTCCTGGAAGCAATAAGCATATCATCAACATATAAAAGCAAATATATGAGCTCACCATCCTGTAGCTTGTGCATATAAACACATGGGTCATATGGGCTCCTCGTGTACCCTCGGCCAATCATAAAGCCGTCGAATCTCTTATACCACTGTCTTGGTGACTGCTTCAAACCATAAAGAGACTTCTTCAGCTTACAAACCAAATTTTCCTTTCCTGCAGCTTTGAAACCCTGTGGTTGTGTCATGTAGATCTCCTCATCTAAATCACCGTGTAGAAAGGCTGTCTTCACATCCATCTGGACCAAATCCAAATCCAACTGTGCCACCAACGCCAATAAAATCCGAATCGACGAATGCTTCACAACGGGTGAAAATACCTCGTTGTAATCAATGCCCTCAAGCTGTGCATATCCCTTGGCAACTAATCTGGCTTTGAACCGAATGTCCCCAATAGAAGATCCCTCCTTCTTCGCATATACCCACTTGCAACCAATAGCTTTCTTACCCTTAGGTAGATGTGCAAGTGTCCAAGTGTCGTTCTTCTGAAGAGACCGCATCTCCTCCTCCATAGCTTCCCTCCACCTGATCGAATCGGGGCTAGACTCTGCCTCCCTGAATGTGGCTGGAACCATATCATCAACGACCTCCACTGATAATGCATATGCGACCATGACATCATTATACCTAGCTGGCCGACGAATCTCTCTCCTCGGTCTATCTGCTGCAATGGTCCTCTGAACATGACCCTGTTCCTGAGTCCCATGATCTACTGTATCCTGTATCTGCCCATCTGTCATCTCATCTCCTCCCAGTGTCACCTCTGTAGGAGCCTCAATGGATACAGTGTTCTCTGGAGTGGGTGGAGTCACATCATCCTCCACCTGCTGCGATATCTCTCCTGTCTGGTCTCCCTCCACCTGCTGAGGGGCTCGAGGCCTCATCATGTACGCCTCGTCAAATGTGACATCTCTGCTAATAACTATCTTCTTGTCCTGTGGATCCCATAACTTGAAGCCTTTGACTCCATCCCTAAATCCCACAAAGACTGCTTTCCTCGCTCTCGGATTTAATTTGCCATCACTGACATGATAATAAGCTGGACACCCGAATATCCGAAGCGACTCATAGTCACTAGCCACCGAACCAAACCAACGCTCCAAAGGAGTCTTCCCGTCTATCGCAGTGCACGGCAACCTGTTCACAAGATGGCTCGCATAAACCAACGCCTCGGCCCAAAAAGATCTAGGCAATCCACTCTGCGTCATCATACACCGCACCTTCTCCAGCAAGGTACGGTTCAATCTCTCAGCCACCCCGTTCTGTTGCGGTGTCTCTCGAACTGTGAAGTGTCTTCTAATGCCGTGATCCCGGCAAAACTGCAGAAACGGATCACTCTTGTACTCTCCACCGTTATCTGAACGTAGAGTCTTCACCTTTCTACCTGTCTGCAGCTCCACTTTCTTTTTCCACTCCACAAAAATATCCAGGACCTGATGTTTATGCTTCATCGGGTATACCCAATTCCTCCTGGAATAATCATCAATGAAAGTGACAAAATAGTTGGCCCCACCAAGAGATGTGTTCTTGGAAGGACCCCAAACGTCCGTGTGAATATAATCCAATGTACCTTGGGTGTTATGAACAGCGGTGCCGAACTTCACTCTAGTCTTCTTCCCAAGTACACAATGCTCACACAATTCCATCTTGCAGGTCTTAGCACCTTTCAATAGCCCCTGTTTAGCCAATGACTGTAGGGACTTATCTCCTGTGTGTCCAAGTCTCATGTGCCATAAGGTGGTAGTGTCCTCCTCTGTAGTGATAGAAGCTGCCAGACCCCCTGTAACTGTCTTGCCCTTCAAGTAGTATAGGTAGTTTTCCCTGACACCTCGCATCACCACCATAGAACCCTTCGTGACCTTCACTGTAGCATCCTCTAAGATCACTCGATATCCTGCTGCCTCCAAAGTCCCAAGAGAAATGATGTTCTTCGTCAACTGCGGCACGAACCTCACTTCCTTCAATTCCCTCACTACACCATCATGCATCCTGATCCGGACTGAACCAATACCACCAATAGGGCATACGTGATCATTACCCATAAGCACGACATCCCCTCTTTCCAGCTCCTCAAAGCTAGAAAACCACTCCCTCTTAGGGCAGATGTGATATGTAGCTCCCGAATCCATCATCCACTCCGTGGAATCCGCATAGCAAACCGACGGTAAAGCAGGGCATGAATAGCCTGAAGAATCTGAATCTGAATGCTCACCAATAGCTTTTGCAACATTCACTTCTGAAGCTTGTGCAGCTTTCCCCTTATTCTTTCCGGCTTTTTCTTTCCACTTTGGGCAGTCAATCTTCCAATGTCCTTCTTCTTTACAATACCGACATTGATTTCTACCAACACTCTTATAGGCACTCCTATTCTTTGACTTTGAGCGGTTAAACTGACGACGGTTTGGATCTCGGCCTCGAACTGCTAACGCATCTCCCGATGCCTTCTCGGAGGGTTCACCATCACTCTTCCTCAACTCATAGTTCACCAAAGCTGAGGTCACCTCCTTGTAGCTAACTGTAGTTCTTCCATTGATCATAGTGAGAACGAACGTACCATAATCATCTTCGGGCAACGAACACAGAAGTAGCATCGCCTTGTCTTCATCCTCAACTATAATATCAACATTGGCCATATCTGAAAGTAGCTTAGTGAAATTGTTGACATGCTCCCTGATGGAAACCCCTCTCTTCATCTTGAACTGGTAAAATCTCTTCTTCAAGTGAAGCCGATTCTCAATGCTCTTCGTAAGATATTTCTCATTGAGTGTTTCCCACATCTTCTTCGCCGACGTCTCGTTCATAACATCATAAATAAGATCCGGCGTCAAGCATGACCTAATAACACCACAAGCTCTACTGTTCATCTTTCTCCAAACCTTATCCTCCAACTCAGCGGGTTTCTCTTTTAACTCAAGAGTCTCCTCCAAATTCTGTGCATCCAAAGCATCCATCACCTGACACCTCCACAATCCAAAATTGATCTTGCCATCGAACTTCGGAACATCAATCTTCGTGTTATTGATGCTCAGACTCTGTATCGCCTTTGTTAGAGACGAACCTGACGTGCTTGCATCTCCCATGTTGTCGATCTAGCTCTGATACCAATTGTTGTGCGCGGCGGAAGCTTTCTAGGGCAACACGAACAATAACTCGAACTAAACCACAAACAATATGCAAACCACAATCACAGCAAGAACACACAATTTACGTGGTTCGGCAAGTTGCCTACGTCCACGGGGCAAGGAGGGGGGAGTTCTTTCTACTAGAAATCAAGAGAATACAAATAGGGTTACAAATCTCTCAGACCAAACCCTAAAACAAAGCTCTAGATCTCTCAAAGCTCTCTCACAATTGGATGCAATGATTCTCTCTCTTTGGCTGCTCAAATTCGTCCAACCTCTACCCTAAACAAACAGGTTTAGGTATATATAGAACTTACAAAACGAATCGGGTCGAAAACCTGAAAGCCCAGCCCAAAACAGCGTCGGTCGACCGGACCGGTCGACCGCGATCAATTCCGGTCGACCGGCCCGGTCGACCGACCAGCTCTCAGTAGAAAACCCAAACTCCAGAGAACCCCTCGGTCGACCGCACCGGTCGACCGACCACCTTCCTGACGCACAGTAAGCTTTGTGCACGAATGCGGTCGACCGGACCGGTCGACCGCCGCCTGTGGAAACCTGAACCAACTGAAACCCGCTTCGTCGGTCGACCGGGTCGGTCGACCGCGATCAATTCCGGTCGACCGACCCGGTCGACCGACCACCTCCAGCAGAACCCCGAAAGAATCCAGAGAGCCGTCGGTCGACCGGGCCGGTCGACCGACCTCCTTGTGCACGAATCCGGTCGACCGGACCGGTCGACCGCCACCTGTTTTTCCTGATTCTGCTGCTGATGCTGAAATTCCTTCACCCACTTCAAAACAGTTGATTTTTATAGTAACCATGATAAGATGCCTAGAAAGTTTACAGACTGGAAACAGATGCAGAGCAGAAAAAAGAAGCGCAGTAGGAGATTTAAACCTCCATTTCAATGAACAATTACTAAAAACAATGGCAAACATCAACCCTTTCAAACATTATTATAACAAGCTCTAAAAAATTTTGTTCACCATCAGAAACACCAACACTGTATACACATGAAGTAGAAATCTCAACTTGTCCACATCAAAGCACTTGATTCTAAAATCCCATCTCAATGTATAATCCCTCACTCATAAGTACATTCATCCTTCTTAAGCTTGACAGGTTTGTTCCTGCCAGAATCTACGACGAGAGGGCACGATATATGTCTCCGATGCCTCACCCTCACGAGCTTCCCCATGACATCACCTCGAGAGAATATCTCAAAGTCCAATGTCAGAGGGACTGCGCCTCCAGTGCTCGATAGAGCTATACCTGCACTAGCACCATAGAGGGGGACCTTGTTTCCTTGTAGGATTATTGATACTGTCCTGTGACTCTTTCTTGGCTGATAGTACTTCTTCAGCTGTAATAGATACCATGTGTGTTTAATTAATATGACATTTAGATATAAAGGGTTATAATTACAAGATAAGTACTATTTGTTTTCAACTCAAAGAGCAAAATTAAAGAAGATAACAAGGGGCCTAAGTTCAATTTGGCGGATAGACCCCCAAAAGTGTTCCATTGTTGCAGACACACCACCTGAGTGAAAATCTATAGTTGCACATACACCCCCTGAGAAGGGTCAACCAAAATTTCATTCTGGAGGTCTATCTACAACAATAGAACTACACAGGCAGTAAGTTCAAGTTGGCAACAGTAAAGGGGGGATATCTATTTTTTGAATATGATGATAACCAAATATAACGTCCATATCTATATTTTGGATAGCTAAAAACCACTGGAAGGTAATGCATGTGTATGAATCCAAAAATAAGATGATTTCATTGTTGCAAAATATATGGTTCAAAATGTGAAAATTGGTTTCTTTGCTTTTTCAGGTGTAAAGGCACAGAGAAGAAGGAGAAATAATACAAAACATACCTGGCCTGTGGCAATAGTAATCTCAGAGTACATGAGACTAATGGGACTTGAAGTAACATGAATGCCGAACATTGAAGCAGAATTATGAACATTTATCTTCAGGGAACAGTTCAATGTGACTAGCTTTGTTGGCACTCCTGTGTCATCGGTTCCTTCTCCCGCATAAAAATCATCCAGCGAGAGGCTCTGCATTGAAAGATGCTAATCAGATTGAAATATTCATGCATAAGCAAGAAATTCAGAGAGAAGGTAGAAAAAGATATTAGTATAGGGGAAAAAGACGCCATTTTACCAGAGAGAAAATGTTTAGCATATGGATGTGTATTTTAGTTAGCAGCTTCAGACATAAACTGAATTATCTCTGAACAGACTAAAAAACAATATGTAAATTTCACATGATATGCTTGTACATATGCATCAAAGATTAACACCATCATTCAAATTTTTTCATTCAATTAAGATCTTGCTGCCAATTTCTTTCTAAAATGCATTCTAGCAGTAATATAAACTGAGAAATGTTTATGTTCCACTTTACACCAAATGACCAACATATATATATTTCAAATGAAACACAAAAGCATGAAAGGTGCAAATATAAATTCAAAGCAAAAAACTTCAGATTTTTTTAATTCTTATTCAGTCTTTTTTCATGATATTTCAAACGCAAAGACTGACCAAACTTTACATAGAAACATCTTCTCTTTCCTTAATTGACAGGACAATCATGGTGAAATTAGATGATAATTGCTCAAGTAAACTAACTGTTTCATATTTTTGTAAGGGTTAATTGCGAACAGACCCCCTTGTATTTACTATTGCTGTTGTTCTATTGTTGCGATAGACCACCTAGAAAGTCCTATCATTGCAGATTGACCCCCTCAGTGGAAACCTATTGCTGCAAACAGACCCCTTGAAAAGGGTAAAAAAAAATTCACTCAGGAGGTCTGTCTGCAACAATTAAATTATAGGGGTAGTATGTTCAATTTGGCAATAGTACAGGGGTTCCATCCACGATTAACACAATAATCTAACTCCTTACAATCTAAACACATGGACGTGCAATCTTACCTTCACCACAACACCCGGTTTATAAGGCCGAGCTGCACCCCAAATAATCAGACACAACGTCGTAAACAGCAAAACAAATGCCACAAATCCAATAAGTATCTGGCATTTCCTCGAGAGTCCTTCATCCTCAAGATCATCATAAGCTCCCTCTTCAAGGATCACATTACACTCGGGCCATCCCCTATCATTGGCTCTCTTCCTATTACCCTTTCTACCTGAAGAAGAGCGAAAGGGACCAGAGAAGCGACTAGCTGATGAGGCTCTTGAGTGCCTACCGATCGATGAAGGATGAGATGGAGATTCCATTGGGCTGTTGGAGATTGGTGTGGCTTGCATTGATGAGGACTTATCTCCATCGTGAGAGTCTCGGGAAGGCGATTGAACATAGTAGAGAGGCCTCTTTGGGGAGCGAGAGGGTGATGAAGGGGCTAAACTCGTGACGTCCGAGTCTGATTTGTTATGCATCATATCTTACTACTTGAAATTTTGCCCTGTAAACGAAATAAACCTGATATAAGAATGGATACTATAGGAAACTTTTTACTACTCATCCAATTTAAAAGCGCAACCACAAAAAGGATGAAAGAAGATAATTTTCTTCAATTTGAGAAATAAAGAGATGGAACTGGGATACATTGACCTAGAAAAACAAACAGATGCCTTAATTAATTAAGGGTCAAGCTCAGCTTCCACTGAGAATTTCCAAAAGTATTCAGTGGAGCCATTCAAAAAAACTCTGAGTTCATGATAATTAATATTGAAATTTCCTCTCTCCTTTTTTCTCCCTACAACATTGCATTAAGTACATTTCTATTATCAATTCGTGCCAAAAATAGTTTTTTTTTTCATAATTCAAACATTGCGTAAAATAAACCAATAAAATGATTCAGAATTTCTAACAGTCTGTCTAATCAGGGAGCTATATGAAACCGAGAAAAAAAAAGTGAAAATTTTCCCTCAAAAGAAGCACTGCTCACTCTCTCATTACAATGGGTTCAAATACGCAATCAATCTCTTATCCAAATAAGAAATTAATCATGAAATATTCAAATAGAGAAAGATTCATCTGATTTCTGCCTGAAAACCATTCGCCTAAAGAAAAGCCAAGAAATTTCTGATGTAATAAAACTAAAAAGAATACGTTTCTAACAGAAAAAAACCCAATTCATCTAAAGATATTGTAATGATATTTTTCTGTGGAAAAAGAAAATTTACCAAATTAGTGTAAAAACGAGAAGGAAAAAAAAACAATAGCAACAATTTATTCAAGAACATAATTGTACGAATAAAAATGGAAAAAAGAAAAGGAAGAAATCAATATCAGAGCAAGCTCCTCTGACGGCTGAAGAAAACCCAAAATTTAAATAAAAGAAACAACTTTTTGATAAAGCCCACATCACTAGCTTCGATGAAACCAAGAATCTTTTCTCAAAAAAGAAAATCTTATGAATCAGTCAAAAATAAGAGCGAAAAAAAACCCATATCACTAATTTCTTCAGCAACAAGTAGTAGAAATAGAAATAGGAAAAAGGAAGAAACCGATCGATACCAGAGAAAACTACTACGATGAAAAAAGAAAAATCTCTGCAAACTGAAGGAGACCCAAATTCAATACGAATCCCTGCGAGAGAGGAGAGAGAGGAGGGGGCGGGGGAGCCTACTATAACTGTTGTGTGCGCGCGAGTGACGTGGAAGAGAGAGAGAGAGAGAGAGAGAGTGATGAGAGAGAGAGGTTAGTTGAGAAAAAGCAAGAGTAGGCTCGGTTGAGTTCCCGAGGCAAAACCATGTAGGCTCGGTTGTCGGCACTTGACCCTCCTCCTCCTCTTTTGATTGATGCTCTGTTCTGCCCACCACATCCCCCCGTTGTTTACTTGCTTGTACTCTTGCGCCTTTGGCTCATGTAATTAATTAATAGTTGTTTATGTAAGATTGGACTTTGGAAAATTCAAAGATGCCCTTAGAGATTGTGAATACTTGAAACATATTGTTAGGGGTGAAATTGTAAAACAATAATAAAATCTTAATAAATATTGTTAACAAATCCTCTAAAGTCCACCTTCGGAAACATATTGCAACTCCTTTACCTTTTGCGCATCGATTCCTTATACAATTTGGGGGAGAAAAAGTAAAAGCAAGCCGGAGTTCAACTATGCACGTTCATTATTACAAAAATTATTATCAATTTAAACAAAAAACTTTTTGTATACATTTCATACTTGCCTTCGTGTAAGTTGTCAACAGCAATTTTTAACTGACAAGTAAATACTAGGAAACGCAAGCATTTACGTGCAATGGGAGTACTAATTGTCCATAAACTAAGCCATGTTTGTTTCCCATGAACTTTAGAAATGGATTTGAATGTGTTAGTGTATTTATAAAATCAATAATTTTTATTGTTAACATCTTTAGATTCACTCTTTTTTTTTTGGTCATGTATAAATGTTTTCTTATTTTTGCAAAGCTAATTTATAAGAACAATGTATGCACAAAAGAGACATTGAAATGAAATAAAGTTACAAACTCTGCGCTCCTTTCCTGGCTCGGAGCTAGCGGTCTGAAAGGATTAATTAAAAAAAAAAAAAAATTTTGCGGGTATTATTAGTATAGTGAGATAAAGACCAGGTAAGTGCCATCTTTATAGTTTGGTACCGTGAGGTTTTCGTGCAATTAAGATAGTGATTTGATAATTAAGTTTGGTATTAAGTTCAAAGCCAAACTCTACGCTCAAGGGCAATATTAGAGGCATTACAGAAGACCTAACAAGTTAGAATAAGGAGATTAGGTACATATTGAGCTTTCTTGCACTATTTCGCAAAGCACTTTGCAAGGCAAAACAACATTTGTTGTTGAGAATTATAATATATGAATGTCTATTACCGCTCTGTACAACGTACTGTATGCCTAACAACTCTTAAGGCAACGAACATCACTGAAAATATTATAAATAAAAATGACCTGCGTTCACAGAGGAGACTGAGAAATATTTGTTTGAACTGGTTAGGTGCCTAACATCTAATAGTCGATAGGAAGCTTTTCTATTAAAAACATTGAAGCTCGAAAATTGTCCGTTACTGTTGATGTGCATTTGTCATTCTCAATGCACCTTTGGCGACCATTAAGGGGTTGTTTGGTTGTTGTTGGTAAGGTCGTGTATTTATGACACAACTTGGAAAGTTGTCGTCCACCTCATCAATTTCACTTTTATACTTTTCTTTGTTTGTTTTTTATTCCATTGGAATCATAAAACACTTGTTTGGTTTGCAAAATGAAACTTTAAGTGGCTGTTTGGTTGTATGTTTTTACTATGTAAAAGGATGGAAAGTGTAAAAAAGTGGGTCCCAATGTCAGGTTTCATCACTTTTAATTGTTTGTTTGTAGTTGTGAAAATAGTGTAAAGTGATTTCATATGCTGATGTGGCTTGTAAAGTGATTTCATAAAAAAAGACATGATTTTAGGAGAAAGCTGACATTGAAGTCAGGAAAAAATAATAAAAAATAATTCCAACCAATATGATCATTTGAGTAGGGACCACTTTTTACACTTTCCAAACAAACAATTAGGGGCTGTTTGGTTGTATGTTTTTACCGTGTAAAAGGATAATGGAATAAAAAACAAACAAAGAAAAGTATAAAAGTGAAATTGATGAGGTAGACAACAACTTTCCAAGTTGTGTCATAAATACACAACTTTACCAACAACAACCAAACAGCCCCTAATTGTTTGTTTGGAAAGTGTAAAAAGTGGTCCCTACTCAAATGATCATATTGGTTGGAATTATTTTTTATTATTTTTTTCTAACTTCAATGTTAGCTTTATCCTAAAATCATGTATTTTTTTTTCATAAAATCACTTTACAAGCCACATCAGCATATGAAATCACTTTACACTATTTTTACAATTTACAAACAAACAATTGAAAATGATGAAAGCTGACATTGGGACCCACTTTTTTACACTTTACCTCCTTTTACATGGTAAAAACATACAACCAAACAGCCCCTAACTCCCCCACAAACAAAAGTTATTCGGTTTGATGAAATCAAAACTGACATTCATGAACCGTCTCATCTATCTGTTAGATATAGGTGCCCTGCAGGCAATTATTGTATATTGTAACAGGACCTATATGTATATAACAT